TATATATATAGATGCATATATACTGGTGATATATAACAATTCAGAAGCTGGAGTTTCCATGCCATTTTCAACTCTCTAATCTTCTTACTGTTCGACCAAGCGGTGGATACCTGCCCCTCCAACTTGAAAAGGCAAGACGATGTGGTGCAGCCACAGAAACATACTACGACTCAAGGTGACGAGTTGGCCGCAACGAAAAGGCACAACAGCAAGCAACTATCACGAAACTGAGACGCAGAGTTCTTGCTTACTCGTTAGTTCAAGCCCCTAAACTCTGTCTGCCACGCTACACCAGCAAGGCTCGCATCACTCGACCCTAAAACACAGACTCTGAACCCACCCAAATTCTAAAAGCCTTGACTCAATCCAGTTCAGCCTCTCTCTGAAATGATTATAGTGATCGGGGACAGTCGCTCTCAATCCTCATACCATGACTTGTAGGGCTAATCAGAGGAACCTCCATGAACAGAAGGCGACAACCAGGTCTAACGAGAAACCAGGGCTTCTTTCTACTCTAAATCATTCCTGTTCGTGAAGCCTCTGGCCATGCCTGCCATCAAAACAGCTTTGGACTCGTCTTTGTGAGGCAGTTGGCTGAGACCCTTTTTTTGACAACCTGGAACCCACCCATCAGTTTTACGACGACTCCACTCCGCACAAACATCCGTTTTCGTGTGAGGGCTCCGGATCCAGGAATTCGGGAAAAAGATGTCCCTGGAGTTTTGCGACGTCTTTGAAATACCTGCCAAGCGTTTGCGGCGCCTCGTGGCAAACGCCCCATACAGAAATCAGAATTTGCGTAATTATCGGGCCTTCACAGATACAGAAGGTGGAAACCTGAATAATTTCCGGAAAGCTTCGTATACCTCAACTCTCTTTCTTCAGGCCGGGCGATGCCGGGCGAATCTCTACCCCGACATATTCCTACATGAAAGTACATCCCCAAGTCACCAGCCTGCAGTAGATCCCGCAGTCTCTGCTGCGAGAGGGCGTGCACCCTGTCCTCGCGCTGGAGCTCTCTGCCACCATCGCAGAGAAGTTTGCTTCAACAATTTTTTGAGTTCGGCTTTGAGAGAGGCTGCTACACCTAAAACATCCTAAAACATCTCAGTTTGGCACTGACATCTGCACGTTCAGAGAGCGGACCGCAGTATCTGTTGTTGCGGAGGTCTACAAGTTGGTTTAAGTTTCACCCCGTAAGCTCATGCCGGCAATCAAAGCAGCTGAAATGTGTGTGACAAAAACGACCGTTCTGCCCAAAATGCAAAGCTAATGGCAGCGAACTTTGACCATCACCCCCCTGTCGAGAATGCTCAAGATCGGGGCATAGGGTTGAGGGTATTTGGCTGGCTGGAGATGATCGGCTTGCTTCGGCTTTTTGCGGAAGCTCGTACATGATACCTGCAAAAAATCTGCATAAAGATGGGCAGCTTTGTCCTGGCAAGTCTGCTTTGCTTATAGGATCCCTCTCCAAACGCCTGATGACTTGAGAAACATGCTGTCCTCCGTAGAGAAGTAGTTGAGGCATAGCGGCATCCGTAGATATGGCACCTGTCGAATCCTCTAGGCAGTTCAACTCCATGAGACAGCCTTATAAAAGTTGATGATTGCATGTGTCGATATCGTTGCAGCTGACGGTAAAATACAACGCAACGTGTTGACAAAGCTCTTCCCAAGTTCCCGCGTTGTTCATGCTGACTTGTGATCGGATGTTACGAGTAATCGCATGCACAGGAGCAGGTCCGGGGCATCCACTCCGAAACACAAGCGCCGTCTACACTCATCTCTGCATGTCTATCTGAGTTGAACGGTAGTAAACTCTTTACTGCGAAGTTGGGGGACGGGGGACGGGGCTGCATTGTTTGAAATCAGGCAAGGGGAGCAGGCTGCAACCTCCCAAGGCAAGCAGATTGCAGGCCGCTAAGACTTGCACCAGGCCTATTCTCCAAGGTATCACAAATAAGGCCTGCTGCTCTACAACAACTGCAGGTTGCTAGCTGCTAGGTCAGTTGGCTCAACATGCACCTCCTGCAAGCATGCCAGCTAAACAACCTGAACAAGTAGAAGGTTAGAGATGCCAAAACGTGCGCTATTGATCTCAACCTGCCAATTGAGCTTCACACGGTGAGGTAGGACAGCAGGAGCTCGCTGTCTGCTTGGCCCAAACCTTAAGAAAAAAATGTCTGTGCCAGTGGTAGATAGAAAAAAGATTGCCCAAATGATGGTCCTGCTTTCGTTTCACACATCTTAAGACGGCTTACTGCACAGATTACGAAATCAACCAGGATGTCCACGGAACACCTGTGAGCATTTTGTACGGCTGAGAACTGAGGCTACCTGAAGTATCTACATCATGGTTTCAGGTTTCAGCTTGGGCTATGGCAAGCAAAAACCGAGAATCATGTTCAGGCAACTTCTGGAAGCCACATGTTTCCTTCCAAGGCGGCAGCAAAGACATTTATTTCCCCTTTCTGTTACATGAGCTCTGGAGGAGGCGATTCAGCTACATATGGTCCTGGACGCTCAGCCGTGGACTGTCCATCGGTCTAGCTTGTCGACATGCCCCTGTTTTGCTTGGACATAGCATTCTAGTATCCCTGCATCCCGAGGCCTAGCTAATTTTCTAGGCTCTATAGACCCTACACCCTTTCTCGGCTCAGTTACTCAGATAATTGATTCAGTAGGCTCGAACACGTTGCAAAATTTGGCTTCTGCTCATTTTGTGTGCCGGCATCTAAATTCTTGGGGTGGCTGCCATTTTCGCTGGTTGCAACTTGCTATGAGGAATGCGTATGATCGCCAAGGCCAACCTTGCCGCCTATCATGACTGATGTCAATAATATGTCTCTGATGTTCTCATGTCTGGGACCTACCACTCGCACGCAGGCTGATGGCACTTGCATCCAATCAATACCAGAAGATGAGAGTCTAACGCTGGAAGTTGTACACAATGCTCCATGGTCCTAGCAACTGGATCACGGGTGACATATAGCTCGACGGCCCACCTGAAACCGAGAGCCCTTAGAAGACCTACGGAATAAACAATAAACAAAGAAAGATATCACCTCCCGATAGAAATCCCGCGGTAACCCCCGACCACCCTCAAGGTCCCTTTTGTAGGGCGGAGGGTTGTTAGGCAGCCAGACATGCTATATGTCAGCAAAACAACCGTTAAGAAAGTTAAGAAACCCCGCGTGGGCACTTGGGGATGGCATACGAATGAACAAATTCCTCTACATCGGGATCGCTCAAATCTTGCGCGTGTCACTATTAACATGGCCTGAGCATAGCATAGCAATCATTACAGAATGCCCGAAATAAACACCGAAACATTGTTTCGTGTACGACGGCTGAAGTGAGAACACCCCCGCTGCTTCCGCAAAGAGCTCAAGTAAGGGCAAGGCGGTCACCAAAGGACGGCATAGTTGGAACGTGAAGCACATCATCCTGACAAGGGCATCATGACAAATGCTAGAAGCCGCCTGACAAATGAAGCTGTAAATGGAGATTTCGTACACCCGAACATCATTCCGAAGGCCCGCTGCTTGGCAACTCAGCTCTTGTTGTCCACATCTAAAAAATGCAGCTAGCATGACGGCAGTCTGATACAACATTCTTGTCTTCCTACCCCTCACCTCTTGCTGCAACTTATACTCCTGCTCGTATTTCTCTTGAAGAACAAGCGAATCCCATCAAACCACAAAGATGCGAGTGAACCCTGAGCCGCAAATTCTCCAAACCCCCGTCAACTACAAACCCTGGGCCCTGAGGGGACTGAAGGCGCCGCAGCCGAAAGTCTGGGACCCAGGCTCTATACCCAACCCCCACATTCAGACCTGAAAATCATCACAAAATGCCCCTTTTGTAATTCTCCAGAACCTGAGGAGACTTCTGACAAGTCCTCGGACCAGATGCTCTGACCAGCCAGATTGCTGGGGAGAGCCTCACTCTGATAGCGATGCTCATTCATGGCCTGAGCAGAGGGATTTAGGGCTTGGGGTTGAAGGCGTAGGATTTAGAGTTCTGGGCTTTTGGGGGGGAGTCAGTCGAGCTGGTCTTTAGCTTAGTCACGGGCGTAGTGTGTCGGTCTACCTGCGGATTCTTTTCAGCATAGCTTGGGGCAGAATATAGGCGTTGCTACATCGGGCTGCATGTAACATTTTGGTTTCTGGGCGAGGGGCTCTTGGGTTTATGCGGTGGGTTTTGAAGGTCACCTTGTCCGAGCCTGCGGCGCTTGGAATGTACAGCCTTCGGAGCTGTAGATTTAATTGCGTTTAGTTGTGAGGAATGAGGTTAAGATTTTGGATTTCGAGATCTCTGGCACCAGAAGAATTCGGGTATCTCCGTGAGTATAGATAACTTGGGGCGTTCAGCCCCTTCCTTATGGTGACAACTTCAACCACCTTAGTTGTACCCATCCATGCTCAGGCCTTAAAAGTTGGAGCGCGCAGGTCCTGGGATTGGATAGATATTGTTCAGCGTCTCTGCGGAAATCTCATCCGTTCGGGCCATCTAGGTCAAGATGATGGAGTGGCGACAAGATGTGTGTTTTCAATTCCACCTGAACTGAGAGATTCACGAACATCCTCCCTTTTACATAAAGGAACTTTCAAATGGTCCGGCCTTGATTAGCTTGATGCTTCACCATTAGGAGGCTAAACTGTGTGCTGACTGCTCAAATCCATGTTACACATGGATTCTTGGGACCCCACGAAGGCTTGCGAGTGCTTTCAAGGTGGAACTTGGGGGGGGAGGAGGGTTGCAGGCATGTAAGTTTGCCCGCCTGGAAAACCTTGAGAGGTGTAATCATGCCTGCCAACGACCTCATGTCTACGTTGCTGACAACATTTCGCGGAGAAACATATACATGGATAATGAGCTTAGCATCGACAGCCTGCAAAAGGTGTATCGCTCATAGTACCCGCCAGAATACGATCCATGTTCGCGAACCATATCACGTTATTCAATGCCGAAGGTCAAACATGATGCCGAAACATGTCTCATGGCTTTGGTAGCACCTTCCAGAGGCAGAAATCTTGGATTGCCAAGGCCCTGACCGGTTTCTCCAGCTTTTGGAAAAGCATCTTTGCCTGGTTGCCCTGCCCGAAAGACTTCACGATGTAGCACCGCTTCCTGAATACAGGATGGGGTTTCCTCATAGCTCAGAGCCTAAACCGAAAGAAGTTCAGGGTCTACAGGGTCGGGCTCAAGGGGCTCACCATGTGGGATGAAGCTTGGGGGCTTGGGGGCATGCTTCGTTTGCCCACATACTATCATCCCATTTTTCGAGCCTGGTGGCTTCCTGGCAACCACTGCATCAACTGCATGAAATGCAACAGTGGCATGGGAGCGTCCTCATCCTCACATCCTACTCGTATTCTGCAAGGTATCTCCAGGAGGCTACAGCTAACGTGCACCCAAGTCCAAGGCACCATCCATGGAAGATTCCCCACAAACCGGCCATACGCTCTCAACCTCTGAAACCAGGCCAGTAGCTGCCACCGTGGATGTACATCAATCACCCACTGCAGGTGACCCTCTGAGAACTCCAAGGGCTGGAAGCGGAAGACAATGGGATCAGTGCACAGGTAGTATTTCCACCACATGCAGACCTGAGCAGCTTGTCACTCTTCTCTTGGCATCAAGGACAGGCAATGCAGCAGGAAAACAATCATAGCAGATCAAAAGCTTCTTGCAACTTCATCACTAACCTGTGCTCTCTGGACATATGCTTGCATGCCCCACTTTTCTTGCACAGATACAGCAATGCCTCTATATACACCCGTGAGCTCTGTGCCTCAACAAGATCTTGCCGAACCGGTCAGGCGATTCCATTTTCTTCGAGCTCGACCCTCAGAGGCCCGGATAAAGTTAATATTGTCTGAAACTTGCTCAGATGCATGAGTGCATCCCGATGAATGGACCATAAGGAGGAATTGTGGACCGATTGACTGGGTCCTAAATCCTAAATGACCTGCTATCCAACGCTCGTGCTGCATCAGACTCGTCCTGATTTCCTGCCGCAACCCAAGATCTACAAGACAACAGTATTTGACCATGTAAGGTTCTACATTATAGAAGCCCTAGGGGCCCAACAATTGCGCTTTAAAGGCTCCAATCCATATCTGAAGAAGGTCTTTTGTCTTCCGACTTTCCAGTGACATGGAATCTTTTTGCATGGCCCTGGCAACTGACATGCTACATCCATTGCTGTTGCGCAGGCATTTTCCGTCGGCGGCAGCTTGCCATGATTTTCTGCTTGCCAAGCCGCGTCTCGATATGCCGCAAACTCGGGGAAATAGCTGTCCAAGTAGCTATCGATGAGCGTGATGCGCCTTCGTGTTTCATGCAAAGGGCATGCGTAGTCTTAGCTTGCTACATATGCCTGAGTGGTGAGAAGGCAGGGTTCTGAGCCCGCATCCTGCTGCGTGCCATGAAAATCATGCGCATCAGGAAACCATGTGAACCTGCTTGTAAAGAATTGGTGGCGAACCTGAACAAGACACAGTCCTATTGACGAACATGGGAGATCCCATGTCCTGGGATCTACAATCCAAATGCAGAAGCTCACGCAACTTCTGGACCAGGCAAAGCACTTACTGTTTTTTCCATGGGCGAATGACCTCCACCAACTGCATGGAAAAAAAACGCAAGGAGTGCCAATGACTCGACCGCTCTGTGCGTATAGCTGCACTGAGCTGACGCATGTCCAAACCGAACAAGCGTGCCCAAATCCTGTAATCGCTGCAAGAACCGCATTTTGGCGCTTTCGCATTCCTATGCGAAGCAAGCAATAGTGCTTGTCGGGCTGTGTTATAGGCTGTCGGAACTCAAGATATAATTTTCCCAGGCTGTGCTCACCTGGCACTCTCAAGGTAAAATCCCAAGAAGCGATAGCTCCGAAAATTGAATGCTGATGGTCGCTTGGACAAATTCATCGTCTGCAGTGGTCCACACACATTGCCACGTAAAACTTGGTGGTTGCAAGACTGGGGGTGCACTTATATAGCCCAAGCAGTTAACATTACACGGACAAAGATACCACAATGTCAGAGAACTACTACCGAGGGGAACGGCATGGACGCGCACACCTGCACTTTCAAACAGCTAACGGCCACAAAAATAGCAATGGAATGAAGCATCTAAGAACAGGACTGTCAGTGTCACCCAGAAACTTGAACAGGCTTGCTTAGGAATACTGCGAATATGTAGAATGGCCATCGGGTTACAGACGGGGATGGTACAGGGTTCATTGCATAACTCACACAGCTGGGATACAACCACAGACAACCTTCATTCTAGGCAAACCGCAATGCAGAGCTTCAAGTTAAGACTCTTCTCCACAGGGTCCTAGCTGTTGCTATCGCTTTCTCCGTGTCCCTGCTGCTTTGCTGTTTGCATCATTCAATCCGGCACAGGTCACAAGTCCTAGAGAAGCGAGAGCAGGTCTGATTCGCAAAGCTCGCTTTTGCGACCCTCCCGGCGAGAAGGGAAGGACCCTTTAAAAAAAATCTGAGCCCTGAAGGGTGTGTAAGGTGCGGTAGCAGAATTTCTAAACGCGAGGCGAGAGAAGTTCCAGCGTGACAGAATGTACCGAGCAGCTTTGCTGGCTACAACCTCCAAAAGCTCCAAAGCTCAGAACTGCCTACCAAAAGATCTTTCGAGATCATGCGCGGAAGCCCTTGAACCATGTCGATCCGACAGGCTAGAGCCTTATATCCCAAAACCTTATAAAACCTGGCACGCTCAAGCCAAGAACCTTGACTGAAAACTTGACAAGCTGAAATCCGAGCCCTACAGGCTGGCGCTTGAACCTAAATCCTAAGACCTCTCCAACGCCAAACCCCAACGCCTCCGGTACAAGCACTTCGCCATTTTTGCGGCAAGGGCTTCGGACCCCTGGTCTGGGAACTCCATGACCCAGCCTCGTGGTTTAGGGCGTATATGGCGTGCTCAGACATCGAGAAGAACTCTTCGGTATTTCTCTATAAGCAGTGACAGAGGCAAGGAGTTTTGCCTCATGGAAGCCCAGTTGGGGATTTGCACCTCATCCCAGCTATGACGTTAGAAAGTTTGCTGCCGAGGGCTTTGAGTGAGCCGTGTCATTTCTCGCGGTGGACTTCATGCTTCCAGAACTTTCGGGCGGTTGGGGTCTTGTAGGAACCCTACCTGCAAGAATATGACTTGGGTTCAGGGATGCAGCTTTTCTCTGTGAATGGGGACGGAATTACGGGGGTGCTGGACCAAGGCTAGGAAATGCAGGTAAGGACGTTCCATATCTCAGCGATGGAGACTAAAAGTGTCCATCTTTTGAGCATCCACGGTAAGCGTATCGGAAATCTTTGCAGACTGCTGTTGTGATTTGTGGGATGCTTTGCCAAGCTCCACTAATTCTAGCTTCTGCATAGTGCGCATCTTGTGACTGAGTTGAAAACCGTCTGCAGCAAATACCTATGAACATAAAACCACACAGTGAGCTTAGGAAAAGGACGGACCCGGCGAGTCAGAAGCAGCCATGATAGCAGTACTCCATCTTCATCCCCGTGACCTCAAATCGACCCAAACCTACACCCCAAACGCTGAATTACCGAAGCTTCACCACAGCGTTATCACTCAAAAATACTATGAAAACTGAGGCAGTGGCCATCTTTCTCCCACTGGAAAAGGTGCTTCATCTTTGCTCCTTGCTCCTGGGCTTCCTGCAAGGGCGTCACTGCTTCAGGTCACTCCGTGTTTTTAGTCCTATAGGGCTTCGTCTGACTGGTCGAGGGATGTTGGCTGAAAGCTGCTGCTGCTGCTGCTGCTACTACTACTTCTCCGCCTCCTCCTGTCGCTGCCACAGCTGCTGCGGCGACTGCCACTACCACCACCACTTCTACTCCTCCTCGTGCTGCTACTGCTGCTGCTGCTGCTGCTGCTGCTGCTGCTGCAGCGGCGACTACGACTACGGCAGCAGTATGACAACAGCGGCCGTTCGTATCGACGACAGTACCATTATAAGTTCACTGCTTGTGCTTCTGCAAGCAGAACGAAAACAGTTGCCATTGCTTGCGACTACTACGCGCTCCCATCTAACATCTACATAATTTCAAAGCCATCCTTACATAATCCCCAAATGTCGTGCATGAGCCTCACAGGAAAACTTGATACGCTGCATGCCTTCCACCCCACCCCTAACCCGTCACGAGCATGTCTCGTCCTGCTCGACTTCCTGGAAGTACGCCAAAGTACGAGCGCGGGTGACGTTCAAGTCAGGAGAGAAAAGCCTAGGCTACTCAACGAAGGTTCTGCAACATGATTCGGTACTCTAAAGAATACTCATTGAATGGTCGCAGGGATAAGCCACCTGCGACTTCTAGCTACGTTGACAAGAAGGCTTTGGCTTCATGCGTGACAGTCAGAAGGAAAATTCCAACAAACCGAGAAGCAGGGTCTATTGTTGAGGATATCCTGCGCCTTAGCCTAATGATTCAAAAAGCCTGGGCAAGCTGAAATGCACAGATCCCCTCGCATGACATTTCCTGAGCCATCCCTCTGGTTACCCAACACCGCGGACACCAGAATTCTGGTGGGAACTGGCAATGCTTATAGGACCTACCCGCGACAGAAACAAATTGCTTCGACTGGAAATCAAAAAAAGGCAAAAACACTGTAATAATCTCCTCTGAGAGTAACCTTCATGATGCCAATGACAAAAGTCACGATAGGATGCTAGCCGACTGCAACACGAATCACAAGAATCAAATCCAACGTTGCTCCAACAAGACGTGTAAGAATCGAGTCATGATGCAGATAGGGCTCATACGCATAATCTAGTCATCTTCATAGTAGTCCTGTATGCTCATGTCATGTACTAGTAGTGAAAGATACAAGTAGCAAGGTAAGGAAAGAGAATGAGCGCAAGCTTCACCATAACCATGCTGAGAAGCAGGAAAGTTTCAGACTGCTTGGCAAAGACTTCCCAAGATACTAAGAAGCGTGTTTCTTCTTCCTTCTCCTTGGCTCGCGTTTCCAGACTTGCAGTGTAGGGCTTCAGTTTATGCCCCATCCCACCTGTCATCGTTAGGTCCTTCGACATAAAGAGACAATCATGCCATACAAGCCTAGACAAGGGCCTGCGAACACGAAAAGTGCCTTCGCAGACGGAGAAGGCACACTTGATGCAGTTGATGGAAATCAATCTTGCAGGGTTTCGGACAATTCGAGCGTGGTTGTTTCATGTACTGATGGGTTAGCTGCAGTTGGCTTTGTTCAGAGAACTCCATAGGATATCATCACAAAAATGCTAGGTTGAGATTGGTTTTGCAGCGGTGGCTCCTCCTTTCTCCATCGAGACAACTCCACAAATGAACCCAAACCCCAAATCCCAACAGCACCCTTCAACGCAAAGCTGGCAGCAGACAGCTCGGCTTTCGAGTCTAGAACTCGAAACATATGTCTCAAACCCTGGCTCACAACCAGCAGCCAATTTGACTGAGCAAAACTCTTGCACTTCTCACCTACTGCTGAATGACACATGCTCATTGTCATCAAGATGTATGTCCTGGGATGGACCCCTGCATTGTTCTGGACTGTTCCTGATTACAAGGGATGCTGCTTTAGGCCGCTGATCCCTTCGCCCCAAGCGCTCTCCCAATGAAAACCTCAAAAGGCAATCCTGTGTAAATCCATTGACCGCTATCGAACAGGTCATCCTCCGTAACCCCTTCTCCATGCCCTTCTGATCAAATCTTCCCTATGAGGGAGAACCGAGCCCAACACTGCTTCAGGGGTCAGACGGGGACAACGCACTTCACTAGTGCTGGCCTTATTGCCGTTCTTTCCACATTGCCCGCTCAAAGCCCTGAACCCTGAACCGGGCGTTGATCTTGAATTTTGAAGGACGGTGCAGTTGGGTAGATTACCGTATTCACTTCATGACGAGCGTATAATGGCCCTCCTGTAACCAGGTGCTAGCTTCAGCCCTGGTGCATCGTCTAAGCGGCCCATCATAGCTTTGCTTGATGTAGCACTGCCCAACTGTCGCAAAAGACGGTCCAGCAATGTTACCTCACTTGCGGTGCATTATTCAGGATGGAACTGATTTTTCTGTGTGCTGTGGCTTGTAGCTTCCTTACGAGCTTTGGTCAAACAACTACAATCATCCAGGGTTTGTGTGAGAGCAGAGATGGACGCCTGGGGATTTCACACAAACAACACCTTCCTCCTTCCCCTGAAAACGTGACATCTTTCAAACACGTGCTTGCTAGACGGTTGTACACAACCCCAACGTACAATAGTCCTTCTACACGTGGCTGGTCCCCCCCCCCCGGAAACACACAAAAACACAACAGCTTCCACACAAGGTGATCCCTACTCCTCTTGGTTCAACAACAGGTTTGTCACGTTCGGCAGTGTTGCCATAACCTGTCTTGGAGAAACAACAACCGCACCAAGTGTACTCTCCATCTGAGTAGGCAAAATGCCAAATGTTTGCAAACATGTCCCTCTACGGATAAAACTGGCAGCTAATTAGTTCTTACCCGATGTAGAACCCCTCGCCCTGATGTAAAAGCACTGGGCAGTGGTGCGGACAGCGACACACGAAGCCTCCTCGCAATTTGGAAATAACACTCCTGCCACAGGTTTTCCATGTCCGCAGTGGGGTTCGCTTCCCATTTGAGCCTCCTCACTATTTAGGCTTGTCATCGCGCTCCCAACCAAGTTGCGCGGATGGTGAGCGCGGAAGCCCCAATTTTCGCGCGAGAGTGCAATGAATTTGGAATGCTCTTGGTGCCCTGGTGTTCTTTGCACTGTTCTTGAAATGGCCCTCAAGCGGTCTTGGAATGCTCTTGGAGTGTCCTGGAATGCTCTGTGGGGAGTCAAAATGTTGGTATCATCTCCGCATGTCCTACATGCAATACTTCATCATAGCAGCAAAGCCTTGCACATGGAAGTCAAAGGGAGCACGAAAACTTACATAGGAAAAACACACATCAGATGAGAAAAAATCTTCGTCCAACCAAAGCAAAGCCTGCGGACCAGATCCCATGATTGCTGTTACACAAGGGGACCTGCGTTACACATTGAACCTAGAGGCCATACATGGACCAGAAACCCTGGTCTCACAAAGCCCTCGCTCCAGATCAGGGAACCTAACACTTCTAGAGAGAACCCTGCAGGGTAAATTGCAAACGGATGATTATAGCTGAGGCCAATGTAGCCACCGTGAAATGCTACCCAAATCAGAAACCAGGAAGCCATCGCGCCAAGGATAATCACGCGCGTCCCGTCGAAGCCCCGATGGCCAAAGGTTGCTCCACAGCTCATGGCAAAGTGTTGCGCGATACCTTGCGGTGGGGTCGGGAGCAATAACAGTAGTAGTAGTAGTAGTAGTAGTAGTAGTAGTAGTAGTTGTTGTTGTTGTGGTTGTTGTAATGAAAAGAAGAAGAAGAATAACAACAATGATAGTAGTACTAGCACTAGTACCAGTACTAGTAGTAGGAGGCGTAGAAGTCATAGTGGTAGTGGTAGTGGTAGTGGTAGTAGTGGTAGTGGTAGTGGTAGTAGTAGTAGTAGTAGTAGTAGTAGTAGTAGTAGTAGTACTAATAGTAGTACTAGTAGTAGTAGTAGTAGTAGTAGTAGCAGTAGTAGTAGTAGTAGT